TACATACATCAATTGTGTAAAGCACATTTGTACATTCGTTGCCCTCATCATTCTCAAAACATTTGCTCTCCACGTAAGCCCCTGGCATCGGCTCATTTTTGCCCCTCCCTCCCGGCTCTCCCCTCCCTCCTGGACCCTTGATAATTTATAAATTATTAGGTGTTCTTATGTCTTATACTGACCAATGTCTTCCGTTACCCACTTTTCTGTTGTCGATCCCCCTGGGAGGGGGTTATAGGTAGATCGCCTGACGTGCCTTATCTTCAGGTTTTACACTTCCTTTTTGACAACTTCCTATTTTCCTGGATTCATACTTCCTATAGTCCCCAGTCCGATGATTAATGGGCGTTTGCAGCTGTTTCTTCTCAATTCGAGTCATGCCACATCAGCCAATGAAGGTCCCCGAAGGTTTACTCCATCGGCATCTTGAACGGTCACTTGAGCGGGTAGCTCTTTCCCAGACGTATTTTGAATGCCTTCTAACCAGAGAGGCTCGTCTCCTGCCACTGTGTCGGTGTTTTACTGCTATTCAGACAGTTTTCACTGGCCCGGCTGTCTTAAGAAATAGATCCATCAAAAAAAAAAGGAAATAGATCCATCGGTCCCTCTTCCCTCATCTACCTGTTTGTCTGGAAGCTCCCCTGAAACTTGTGCACCATGGTGACCCTGCTGGTTGTTCAAACACTGGTGGCATAACTCCGAGCATTACAGCAACGCAACACACGAGCCACCACAGCGTGACAAATGCACGGGATAGTCAACAAATACTATGGAGCCTGTCCTAACTTGGCAGGGACCTCTGCCCCCTGCACACGCTGATGAAAGCCTTTCACAGGAGGGAAACCAGGAAGTGAAGCGCTGTCCAAACTGACGGTCCCAAAGGCACCAAAAGGGAACTCAATGCCAAGGTAGCCCGAGTGGCCTCGTCGCTCACACCAGCCAGGCTGCGTTTGCCTAAAACAAACAGCCCAACGGCCTCCTGCACCCGAAGCCTCCGCTGCCCAGGTCGCAGCTCGCGCGCGCGGCCCGACTTCCTGCCCTTACGCGTCAGTTAGCGTCGTTCAAACAGGCCGCGTTCCCTCGCACCCAATCAGAACGCTCGTTCTTCGGCGGCCGCCCAATGGGCGCGCGCCGTGGGGACGAGGGGGCGGGGGCGCGAAGCCCCATCGCGGCGCCATGGCACTTGAGGGCAAAGAGGTTAGGAAGCCGGCATGGCGCCCTGGTCCATAAAATCGATAGCTGGGAACCGCTGGCGTTCCCGGCAAAGGCGGTGCACGAGTGGCGCCGCCATTTTCCCCGAAGGCATCTTCCGGTGCCTTTCGCCCGCGTTCGGGCAGGAGTTTCCTGAATAACAGCGAGAGGTTCCCGTTAGGCCCGCGGGCGGCCGATTCCGATCACCTCGGGGCCTCCCAGCCCAGCCGGCCAGCGCCCCGGGGCCGCGCGCCCGCCCCTCCGGCCCAATGGCGCCGCCCGCGGCCCCTCTCTGCGCGCCGCGGGCAGGAGCAGCCCGGCCGGGCCGCAGGCGGGGACGGAGGCCGGGGGCCGTGCGGTTCGCCGACGTGGCCGTGTACTTCTCCCGGGAGGAGTGGGCGTGTCTGCGGCCCGCGCAGAGGGCCCTGTACCGGGACGTGATGCGCGAGACCTACGGCCACCTGGGCGCGCTCGGTGAGGCCCCGCCCCGTCCGCTTCCGCGGTCGGAAGGAGCGAGGGCGCTTGGGCGCCGGGGAGAGGGGGCAGGGAGCCCAGGGTCCTGGCATCGGACCAGCTTGGCTTCCGAGAGGGCCCGAGGGTGGGCACTTAGCGAGCTGGCCCTCAGACCGCTTCTCGTTGCAGGCTGTGCAGGTGCCAAGCCAGCCCTCATCTCCTGGTTGGAACGGAACGCCGATGCCTGGGAGCCGGCAGCCCTGGATCCGCAGGAGTGCCCGAGAGCGCTAACGGTCCAGAGAAGTGAGTGCAAATTGCCCGTGGAGACCCTGAAGCCCTCCTGTCACGACCTGCTTCCCAATTTGGGGTCGCCTAGGAGTACCCGGGGCCGTTTCTCTGCTGGTGGGGTTGGCCCGCCGCTCGGAACAAAGACGAGCGGTGTCAGCTTGCAAACTATCCACCTGCAGGTCTGTCCAGGGTGGATGAATCAGTCAGCTCTCCTGCCGCCTGTCCAGGATCCCTGCCCCCACCCACCCACCCCTTTTACATAACTGAGCGAGCCTATACTTACTCTGAGGTCCCCGCCCCCTGTTTTGATTGAGGGGAACTGATGGGGAGCCCCTTCGGGTTCGGGGCAAGAGGCAGGGCCCTCTTTCTGGCTTTCTGACTGGATGATCCTGATCATCGGAGGACCAAAACCACTCACGGGAGCAAACAGAACTGTCCAAGGCCGGATTTCTCAAGGCCAACGCCGGCTTCCCAAGACTCAACGCTGCCCATGTTATGTCCTCACTTAAAACTTGCCAGTTTTTGCCAAGGCAGGGCCTCAAAGGGGCTACCAATTAGATCGAAATCTCTTGGCAAATTGAGGGGAAACAATTTAGAGATTCCTGAAACACCCCCCACTCCAGAGCTATCGATTCTGTGTGTGTGTGTGTGTGTGTGTGTGTGTGTACACAAGGGAATGCAAGCACTCAAATGCATTACCAGCTCCAGTTAGTTTGACTGTGTATCTCTGTTTGAAAGCCATTAGGTAAGATACTGGTTAAAAGCCCTTAACAAATACTTGCAAACATTGGTTCTCAAGGGTCATCCCCAGACCAGCAGCAGCATGAGTTGGAAACTTGGAAATACAAGTTCTTGGGCTCCCACGCTAGACCCACTGAGTCTCAGACCCTGGGAGTCGGGCCCAGCAATCTAGTTTAACCAGCCCTCCAGGTGACTCTGGTCACAATCAAGTTTGAAACCCATTGGCTTGAAGGGCCTCCCGCCACCCAGTCACTGGTAAGCTCTTGCCGCCTCTTTATTTCCATTTCTTGCTGCGAACCTCAAGTTCCTCATTTCGAGACCACCAACCCTCCGAGGGAGAAAGAGGAGGCTTTCTTACAGTCGCCATAACCCACAGGGACTTTCTCCCCTGTCCCAAAGGGTGGCTATGAGTCAGCAGCCTCTCAAGGCATGGAGTTTGGTTTGGGGTCTTGCCCCCTCTTGTGCCAAGGGCTGAAGGCTTGTGGTGCCTGCCATACACAGCTAGGGGTTTCCCTGCTGTCACCTCTGTGGGCCTTCTGTTTCCACCTTTCTAACCTTCCTTCGGGGAACCCTGGAAGCACTGTGGGTTAAGCAGCAGGCGGCTGTCCACAAGGAGGGTGGTTTAAACCCACCCCTGCAAGAGAAAGATGAACCGGCTGCAGCCTGTTCCACCAAGATTATAATTTTCGAGACCTTAAAGTGTTGCTGTGAGTCAATTCATGCAAAGGCAATATGTGTGTGTGTGTGTGTGTGTGTGTGTGTTAGAAAGGTTGGGAGGAGGGGAGAAAATGTCTCTCTTTGTGAGACGCAAACTAATGAAATAGGATTTCCCTACAGCAGATGGGAACGAGGATGGGAGCCAGCTTCTCCGTGTTCTATTTTAAACAAGTTTTCGTTTGGAACCCTTTAAACGTCTGAACGCTACAAAAACGCGACATTGGGATGAAGTCAGCGGAATTGCTACCAAGAAACTTGCCCCGACTCCCCGGGCTGCTCGGGCTCTCTGTAGCTGAGGCAGCAAGTCCGCGTCGTCACACTGTGCTGACTGAGCGCTGAGCCTTCTAACATGACTTTCTCCCGTGTCCTTGCAGAGACCCGAGCCAGAAAGAAGAACGAGGAGAAGGCAGTATTCCCCTCTAAGGAGGCACCCCGGAAGGGAAAGAGAGGGCGCCGCCCCAGCAAACCCCGACTCGTCCCCAGGCAGACTTCAGGGGCCCCCATCTGCCCCGACTGTGGCTGTACCTTCCCCGACCCCCCGGCCCTGGCCAGCCACAAGTGCGCCCAGAATCTGAAAAAGCCTTATCCCTGCCCAGACTGTGGGCGCCGCTTTTCCTACCCGTCCCTGCTGGTCAGCCACCGGCGGGCACACTCGGGGGAGTGCCCGTACGTTTGCGACCAGTGTGGCAAACGTTTCTCCCAGCGCAAGAACCTCTCCCAGCACCAGGTAATCCACACCGGGGAGAAGCCCTACCACTGCCCGGACTGCGGCCGCTGCTTCCGCAGGAGCCGCTCGCTGGCCAACCACCGGACCACGCACACGGGCGAGAAGCCCCACCAGTGCGCCAGCTGCGGCCGCCGCTTCGCCTACCCGTCGCTGCTGGCCATCCACCAGCGGACGCACACGGGAGAGAAGCCCTACACCTGCCCGGAGTGCAGTCGCCGCTTCCGCCAGCGCACGGCCCTGGTCATCCACCAGCGGATCCACACGGGCGAGAAGCCCTACCCGTGCCCAGACTGCGAGCGCCGCTTCTCGTCCTCCTCGCGCCTGGTCAGCCACCGGCGGGTGCACTCCGGGGAGCGGCCGTACGCCTGCGAGCACTGCGACGCCCGCTTCTCGCAGCGCAGCACGCTGCTCCAGCACCAGCTGCTGCACACCGGGGAGAAGCCCTACCCCTGCCCGGACTGCGGCCGTGCCTTCCGGCGGAGCGGCTCGCTCGCCATCCACCGCAGCACGCACACCGAGGAGAAGCTGTACGCGTGCGAGGACTGCGGCCGCCGCTTTGCCTACCCGTCGCTCCTGGCCAGCCACCAGCGCGTGCACTCGGGCGAGCGGCCCTATGCCTGTGACCTGTGCTCCAAGCGCTTTGCCCAGTGGAGCCACCTGGCCCAGCACCAGCTTCTGCACACGGGCGAGAAGCCTTTCCCTTGCCTGGAGTGTGGCCGCTGCTTCCGCCAGAGGTGGTCTCTGGCTGTGCACAAGTGTAACCCCAGGGCCCCCAACTGTAGCCCTCGAGCTACTAAAGAGGGGCCCAGGCAGAAAGCCAGTGCCCTGTCGCGTGGGAAGGACTGTGTAAGTTAGGGATCCCCACCCCTTCCTTGGATGGATGCCCAGAGAAGGGAAAGAGGAGCCCCAGGCATTTCAGGGGCTCCGGCTACAAGAAGAACCCTTTAGAATATTCTACCTGCTGGCTGCCTTACTGTGTGTGTGTGTGTGTGTGTGTGTGTGTGTGTGTGTGTGTGTGTCTTGAACAGGCAACCCCACTGGGAGAGGTGACACCATTCCCTAACAGTTTTGCAAGCCATCCTATCCTAAAATCCTCTCTGTGTCTGCACATCTGGCCCAGAAGTTCCTCCCCACCCACCCCTCACCCCACCTCGGCCTATTTTCAAGTTCGTCGGCTTCTTTACTTTGTGCAGCGAGGAGAATCTCTGGGAGGCAGGCCTTTCCTATGCTGCCTCTTTGTTTGTAGGAGGCTTGAAAGAACTGGTCGAGTTCTCTTTTCCCAGCCCTCCTGCCCACTGCTCATCTACCCCTTGCTCGAAAGCCTTTCTTGACAGGGAGCTCACTACCTCAGGAGGCAGGCCATTTCTCTGTGGGATAGCTCTGGTCTTCAGGAGGGTTGAGAACTGCATTCTTCCCTGTAAGCCTTACCTCGGATCTGCTTAGTCCCATCAGATACCTGCTGGTCACAACCCCTTGGCCCCACTCATTCAGTCAGGCGTCTCCTATTAAAGAGAGTGTCCGTTTCCACAGGACCTCTTGCCAAATGGGTTTGCCAGTGTCCCTTTGACAAAGGCCAGACAGGAGTAAGCTAGCATCACCTTGTTCACCGTGTACCTTCCCCAGGTCTGTGCTCATCTTAAAGCCTAGATTACATCGGATTGGGGGGCAGCCACACACCACACCATGGGTTTACAGTGTGCATAGACATTTACATGCCCCCAGTGTTACAAACAGCATGCAATGAAGCTAAGCCTTCTGAACCCTGAGTGTAGAAAATTGGGTCACAGGGAGCCGTGGGATATTGATTTCAAGAAAAAGCAAGGGAGCTCTCTGTTCAGAACAGCCAAGAAAACCAAAAAGAGAGAAGAGGGCCTGCTGTGATGCTTCCTCTTGTGTCCCAGGGTGGCAAGAGCCCTGGTGGTGTAATGATGACATGCTGGGCGACCATCTCCAAGGTCAGCAGTTCAAAACCATCAGCAGCTTTCAGCTCCAGTGAACAATTACTGGTGGAAACACACAGGGGCAGTTCTACCCTGTCCTCTCGGGCTCCTGCGAGTCAGTATGGGCAGTGAGTGGGTGTGGCCCAGTATTCGTTCCAGGCCGCCAGGGGCTGGGAACCCCTGGACAACTGGATCTCTGCCCTCCCAGATTCTCTTCAGGATGGGAATCAGCACAACCTCCCATCAGGCCTCGGTCAATATTTTTCCTCCATTGAGGTCCAGGAAACAGGAAGTGTTCCTGCTGGCCTCCCTCATGGAAGCTCCTGAGGGGCACTCCCTGGTGCCCACCTCTGAGTAGATGTTAAGTTTTACGCAATCAAACGTGAACAAGGCCTCTCATTTTGCCTTGGGAGCTGCGCCAAATTAGAATCTCCACACCTGATGGACTCTCCAGCAGCAGGAGTGGATCAGCCTCCTGCTCGGCCGCTGCAGCTTTCCGCTCTCTAGATCTCCAGCCCGCAGGGAGGGGAACAGCTGGAGAGCCTGGCTTAGCCGTTTTAAATGACCTCTGTTCTGGTACTTAGCAGCAGAACTTTCACTTAGCCTGAGGAGCTACCTACCCCAAGGCAGGGACCCTACCAGACTGGGTCTCCTTAAACGTTTCTGATGGGTGAATTCTGTTCCTTGTGCAATGACTGTTGTTTCCAAAGTGAAAGTTCCCCTTCTGATGGCGACCTGTTTCCGGTCAGAGCAGAGACCCGTTTAGAATGCTTGTTTTAGACCCGGCTCCTTTCTCTACCCTCTGTCACCCGGTTGACCCAACTACGTGCATACTTGAGAACTCCGCTTCTATCATGCTCATCCTCATAGTTGGGCCTGGAGTCTCGACATCTGTCCCCTGGGGACTTGGCTCCGCGGACTCTTCCTTTCTCTCTTCTAATAGTCCCAGAATCCTCCTCCTGTCCCAAGCCTAACAGACCTCTAAACCTGCCCAAAGGTATCTTTCAAAGACAAACCCACAAAAAAGAACTTCCGTTGTGCTCTCTCCTTATCGCCAATGTCCAGCTGCATGTTCTGAAGGACAGTGTACATTCCCCAGGCCCACTCCTGTCTGTCTGTTTGACTTGACCTGTCGGCGTGTGCTGTCTGGGTGAGTCCCACTCAGGGATCCTGTAGGACCGAGCAGAACTGCCCCACAGAGGTTCTCAGATCACCAGGTCTTTGCTCCCACTGAGCCACGGAGGGATTTGAACCACCAACCTTTACGCAGCTGAGTGCTTACCCACTGTGTCACCAGGATGACTTTTACTGGGCCTACAAGAATATTAATAATAGCTACCTTTATTGAACATTTATGATAGTCCAGGTAAAGCACTTTATGTATAGTACAGTCTCTTTTTAAAAAATGTTTTATTGTGGTCAAATACATATAACAAAATCTGCCATGTGAACCGATTTTGAGTACATAATTTAGTGACCTTCATTGTATTGACAGTGTTACCCCAAACAAGAACTCTGTTCCATCTCCCCCTTTCCCCCAGCTCATGGCAACCACAAATCTAGTTTGTCTCGACATTGGCTACTGTGACCAGTACTGCAATTAGCATTGGTGTACATGCGTCTGCCTGCGTCCCTGCTTTCCAGTTCTGTGTAACCACTAACCTGGTTTCTGTTTCCATGGTCTGCACTTCCCTATCGCTATTTCATCTAAGTGATAATATGTATGTGTTCTGTGTTTCGCTTCCCTGAGCACAATAGTTTTCAAGCTCATCCATGTATCCAGTCTAATTTTCATCAGAATCTTCTAAAATAGATGCTGGGAGACACTCCTCATATTATCGATAAGCCCCAAACGCTAGACTCTGATAACGCTTCATTGAGGTCATTTCTCAAGGTCATGTTTGCAGCAAGCACCTTTGAGGGATGATGTCATGGATCCAGGTGAGACAGAGAGCAGCTTGCCAGCTGTTTGAGACAGGTTCCCCAAACTCGGTGTTCTTCTGACATACAATTCACTATGAGTCTCGCCTTTATCTGGCCCTCCATGTCGACTCTTTGGAATTTGAGGGGAAAAGAAGCCGATGAACACAGGATGCCTCTGCCGCTTCCAGGGTTATGGAGATAAGGTCCTTTGTCTCTAAGTAGGCTCGCTTTGGCAATAGAGCCAGCATTCTTAAGACAGTAACCTTAACTCGTAAGCTTATAAGATGAACTTCAGTTCTAGACCCCAAACATAAGCCCATAGCTGTCGAGTCAACCCCAAGTCATAACAAATGTACAGGACAACCACCCCACAGGGTTTCCAAAGTAAGCATCCTTAGGGAAGCAGCTGCCATAGCTGCCCGTCGGCCTGGTCACCTTTTGGTTAGCAGTCAAGCTCTTGACCATTGTGTCACCAGGACTCTCTCAGACTCCACCCAAACCCAACCCAACCCAACTCCCTGCTATTAAGCCAATTCACAGCAACCCTGACGAGAAAACAGGTTCAGTGGCCTTTAAGGTAACTGATGGCCTAGATAATAAACCAATACTTCAGTTTTCTTTATTTTTGTTAGTGTCAAGAATCTGCACAGCAGAACACACGCCAACCATCTTGCAACCATTCTCCCCCCTCCTTTTCCAAGTTCCCCCATACCGACAGAAACTCACTGTCGGAAGCTTCCCAGTCCGTTTTTTTAGGAGGCCTGGTGGTGTAGTCGTTACTTGTTGGGCTGTTAACTACAAAGTTAGGAGTTCCAACCCACCAGCCACTCTGAGAAAGGAAGATGGGGCTTTCTACTGCTGTAAAGAGTTGCGGTCTTGGAAACTCACAGGGCCAGGTCTACCCTGTCCTAAAGGGTCCCTCTAAGTGGACATCACCTTGATGACAGTGAGTTGGTGCTTTGTTTTTATCTCATGTAGATGGTTCTTTAAATGAGCACATGTTCGGGGGGAAGAATGAGGAGCTGATGCCAGGGGCTTATGTGGAGAGCAAATGTTTTGAGAATGATGAGGGTAACGAATCTCCAAATGTGATTTATACAATAGAAGTATGTATGGATTGTGATAAGAGTTGTATGAGCCCCAATAAAATGATTTTTAAAAAGAGCACATGTTCAACGCACTTATCATTTACTAATGAAGCTAAACGTGCTTGTTTTAAATATCTCAGGGTTGTTTGGGGGTCAACGTTTAAAGAAGATCTCAGGGAAATCGTTTGGGGGCGTTCACCCAGTCTTAGAGTTCCATAAAGTCTGGATTCTATGAGAATTTGAAATGCAGTTCCACATTTCCACCCTTTTGATCAGGAGTGTCCTATCAAATCTTGGATCAAAATGCCCAGTAATGGTAGCCAGGCGCCATCCAGTTCTTTTGGTCCCATGGCAAAGGACACAGTTGTTCATGGAAGCAAGCAATGAGTAACACCTTCAACTTCCTCTTCCTGATCCTGATCCCTTCCTCGGCTGCACCTGGCAAATAGACACAACTTGTTATGCCTTGGATGGTCACTTCCAAGTTCTAAAGATGCCAGGACGATACCACAACGTAAGAGATAGACCAGAAGCCCTACACATTTGGTCCGTCAATTGGGATATTCCATGAAAACCATGGCCCTAAACCTCCACACCAAGAGACCAAATCCCATGAGTTCTCTGGATGTACATAAGTAGCCTCGGCAGTTGTTATTGTAACGAAATCTATCAGCCAACTCTTGCCAATAGACTTTTTAGAGGTGTACAATTTAGTGACAATTACATTTGGGGTGCAGCCCTTACCCTTACTGAATGCAAGTTTTCCATCATCATAAACCAAAATAACCTTCCTCTTCCCCCCAGCTCTTCTAGATCATTCTCAAAACATTTGCTTTCTGCTTGAGCCCTTGGTATCAACTCCTCATTTTGTCCCCTCCTTCATGAACCCTTGTTAATTTAGAAATTATTATTTTGTCATATCTTGCCCTATCTGACGTCTCCCTTCACCCACTTTTCTGTTGTCCATCCCCCAGGGAGGAGGTCACATGTAGATCCTTGTAATCGGTTTCCCCTTCTATGCTCCCAGT